CACCGGGTCTTAGGTACAAAGGTGCCGCAAAGTAACGACGAATCAATTTTAGCTTCTTTCGCTCGATTTCCGGACATGTGATCTGTGTTCATTTTAGCGCAAAACTGGCCCGTTTAGTTAACGCCACACTTCAAGGGTAGCATGCATAAGAAGACAGTTTTCAAATTCTTACAAAGTTGAAGGAACTATCAGCACATAGATTGTACATAATTTGTGAACTTGAGCAATCAGGATTATTCAGGTAGATTAGATTGTTTCCAGTACCTGTCGGTGTGATCTTTTCCACTCAGGTGGTGATGCACCTTCTCGTGTTGCAGCACAAATGCGTTTCCCATCACAGTCTAACACGACAGCTGCACATTACATTGATCAGGACTTACAATCCTAACTCGCTTTGTCTCCAATCCACCTAAAACGAATGACTGAGTAAGGATCACAGTGATTCATATATGTGTGTGTATATGCGTTGAAGCTGCAAATGCATTTCCAATCCGATAACTAACGAATCGAAATGCGTTGCTACTTCCGATTGTTTAGCTACAGTATGCGCATTGCGTATTACATCTGCGTAAAATGTGCACTTAACATCATATTCACAAAATTCTTCTGAAAGTTGAAACACAACTACAGACAACGCTAGTATTAGTAGTTTAACGGTGATACTACTGATGGTAGTGGCATTCGAGTAGTACTTTTCCTTCTTGTAAATTTGCTTGAAAAAGGAGATCTATTGCAGATTTGTGAAGTTGCTTTGTAGCATTTGCTCGGAATTGAGCAACACTCAATGAATATCCATGAAAGTTCAAGAAGACGCGTGCAAGAGAAGATAAGATAGATGTTTTTGTAATTAAGTTGCATTAGTCTGTAACTTGTCAGTTGGCATTTTCTAATAACTCCGCAGCGAAGTCCTTCTCCCTTTCAGTAGTAATAGTAGTAATAGTGTTGAAGGCAACATTTGAATCCAAGAAACAGTTGGGTATCTTGTTCAGTGTTTCCTTTTAGCATAGCTGGAAGCAATGAAGTAAACACTAGAACCAAATCAAAGAATCTGGATGAATTCAAATGCACCGTAAAGACAATTAAGTCTAGGGGCCGATTGAACATACTATTCCGATGAACATTTGTCGGGATTAATTTCAAGGGGGTTAACTTCTAATAATATTTAGGTTTACTCTTCAACTAACACTTAGAAATGCCAGGCCCTGAGGTAGGTGATTGTAAAACTCGAAGTAAGGATATTGAAATGTCAAAAATAATTATCGGATCGTTGATAGTGTGAGGAAATTCGGTAATTTTCAGCTGAGATTTGTTCTGCAAGTTATGCCAATTCGTGCTGACAAGCCGAGAAATAGTATTTAAATGTAGATTCATCGTTATTGTAAAGCATCAGCAGTGAGCTTCTCGCGAAACTCAAGGAAGATTCAAATAGGTTGGAAACCAGTGTTCAATCACCACCGGCTGATCAGCAGCTGACGCAAGTTAGCCATATTAAGGGAATGTGTAGATCGCAGACAATTTAGTAGTTTTGTAGAGAAGGAATCATTCGCCCGGCATTTCGATTAGCAGTTATTAGTTGGTCATTCCAAACCCACGCAACGCCGAGCATTTCGAACAGCTGGTCATTCGTTCTGGGAGTGGATATTCAGCAGCATCTACACCAACGCATCATTCACTCAGAACTACAGAGTATTTTTGCACCAGATAACGTATAAGGTAAACGGTATCGATTTTTTCACTGTAATTTACAATAGTCAGCTAGTTAGTGGTTGCGGACCTATTCATTTTATTGAGTTAACGAAACGAGATGAAAGATATTGATCTCCTATACTTTCTCATCTCTTAGGCCGATCGGCGTATGTAGGCAGAGCGCTTCCTTTTTCGCGAAATATGAAAGGAGTCTGTGTGATTTTCCCAATTACGCGCTACCGTTGCTCTGTTTGCTGGACTTTCACGTCCGCCTCAAGTATAACAGTTGCATGTCACTGTGAATTACATATGAACGCCTATCGTGTGTAAAAATCTGGATTTTATTGCTGTATTTGCGTTTGTTGCAGTCGATCAGATAACTAATCGGCAAGCGTGTTCTGAAACAAAGTGTAACATTAATTTTGAGATTTTGGACAGGGCACGTATCCATCTGTCACCAATAACCTGCGCGTAAACTACAGGAATATCCTATTTGTGACGTGCACCCCGGGGTGATGCGTTTCACCGGGTCGTGAAGTTCCACGAAGTTTATTCATTGAACCTATGGCAAACCCCCTTCGCAGGAATTCCCTAGCACAGCTGTAGAATGCCGTAGAATGTAGAATGTAGAAAGTTTTTCACGCGACGAAAGACACGACACCAGGATTCAATACATGCATTAATAGTCAGGGTTCCCAAGCTCCTAAGTGAATCATTCTTTTAGTAGAACTTGGCGGACATCCATTATCGATGATAAGGTTGGTTGAACCATTGCCTTTGCGAGCGATATAACATTACCATGTGAACAGTGCGTTAAATTTCTTATGCACCGCTGAATAACAACAGGTATCAGTGCTGTTACTCACGTTCAAAATGAGTGAGGAAACCTTGGCCAAGAAGTAGTAACTGGAGAGGCTGGAGTTCTCTGATATGTACCCTACTGTATACGTAAGAGATGTTCCACCTGTATTGAACAGTGCAGCCAAAGTGGACTATTCTACTGTTGAACAAAATCAATAGGCTCTACTTTCTTCTGAGACCAACCGAGGAAATGTTAGTCATTCACAGATATTCAAGCAAATGATTGGCAGGTTCCAGGTCGCTGAGATGATTTTCCTATGATTAGCTTAGCCGGAATATGCTGTCTTGTCTGGCTTAATTAACCCGACAAAACCAGCTCTGAAGTTGTCTTGTGAGAAGTGGTTTATCCATATTACATTCCACGAGTATATCATAACGGACATACCAGTATTTTCAGGCAGTTTTCCGTTCGCACTCTGAAGTACGCATTCTCCGCCCACCATTTAACAGAATTCAAGACACAACTTTACAAAGCACGTCGGCAGCTGCGTTACCGAGCTTGCAAGCTCCGTCAGCTGAGACGTCTTGGGAAAGGTCGCAACTCGCTTCGGCGCCAAATTCAACTGCTAGTTATCAGGCTCCTTGGCTGTTGCTCAGGGTTGTACTCTCAAAACGCTGCACTTAGTATCCTGGTTTTCATTTGTTGTTCAATCATTTTCAAATCCAGCTTTTTGAGGAAGACATTTACTGGTCGCTTAAGGGTCTCTGCACTTTCATTTTCCGAAGGAACATCCCCCAGCTTGGACTAGTGACCAAGATAAAAAGTTGCCAAAACTCTTCTCAGGCAAGACCGAAAAAATCATTCGTTCTACAGAGTGATAATCATACATGTGTTTTTCTTTTTACAGGAAGCTCGGCACGAGTTCAGCTGAAAGCACTTCAGTGTTTCCGTAAAGGCTCGTTTTGTTTTGATATCTTGATGCACTTTATAGAAGTGTGGTGCATGAGAGTTACAGTTGACTGGCGTCTGATTCGGTCAGCGCCAGTTTGACTACTACAAAAGTGCAAAGTTTCGGGCAACCCGGGGCGGTCTGGGTGGAGCATACTGTTGCTGTATACAACTCCTTAGTACCGATATAGAGCACACGTTATATGACAAGTGGCCGGGGCAGGTACTAAGCTTTCAATTGTCCTACACATAATGTCACAACAACTGTAGTTGACAAGAAATATGAATCGAATAACAGCACTCCAGTTGTTGAAAAAATTGTAGATTATCTCGCTATTGTATGCTTCTGATTGTTGAGGATTAAATTATCACTCCTGGTTTATATGAATTGGGTTTCTATGACATCCAGTAATGAGGTTGTTTCTGATGACCTGTCTTCTGCCTGAACTTGAGACAGCACGCTAAGGTTCGCCGATAAGCTCGTTCCTCTCAAAACCTGTGCAAGCGAGAATTTTTGTCGAATACCTGTTGTCCGATTTCAACCTGCCATGTCAGATTTTGGTTGGCCGATCCGTTGGTTTCACATGCCCAAAGGCCCACGAGTGTGCAAGTGCAGGTGGATGGGTGTTCCGATGAAGCAAAATGAACATATGGACCGACGCGTGTGCAAAAAACACGCGGCTGTGCCACATGGCGTTTGAAGGGAAAAGTACAATTTGTTTGCTGCCGTTAGTGCCGGCTTTCTGTCAGGGTTATAGAGATGCCAGTAAGTGCGCTCATTGGTGACTTTAATATGGAAATTTCCCATCGTTACGAATGAGCAGCGTCAGCGTTATTCAGCTGACTTTGAATGGCGAAGGGAAAGATGGGCTGCGAAAACTGCGAAAACAGCAGCAGAAGCAGCGAATGGAAATGGATTCCACAGGCAATGTAGATGTCGCTTGACATCAACATTTTTAGTCCATCATAAATGTATGACGGGTTTCGAATTGAGCATGTACGCTGAGTTGAACTTTCATTCGATTTGAGTCAAAGGATAGCCGATTTCGCGCTTGATTTCGACTCTAGCATCAGTCGTCCAACCAACGATTACACTACTGACGGGATTTTTTAGAAAGCCTGACTTCTAGTTGAATGTTTCTCTTAGACATGCAGGTGAATCTGTCATTTTGGGAACCATAAATATGATCTCAAATCCTTTTTGCGATTGCTCTAATGTTTTTCCTAAAGTTGCTTATCTGAAGGTAAACTATCTCCCTTCATTGTACACTTTCATAACCAAAATATATGGATAGAAATAATTGTTAAACAGAAATTGCTTCGACAGTACACATCTACCTGTCTAACGGTCTATGCACAACGTCTATTTTCAGGTCAACACGTTGCAGCCCTTCCGCGCAAAATCTACACTAGCTACAGAGAACCATTCTGTAAGCACTGATTTAAAACATTTCTACGTCAACAGCTCTGCCGCATAGATTGTTTTCAGTGAGCCACAAAAGCACGACTTTTTTGTAAATTTAAAAAAACTATGAATTAGTTAAACTGTGAAATTATCACTTACAGTTGGAACAGTTTGCGAGCTGGTTCTTGTGGTCCCGGGTGCCAAGGTAGACGCGCTGGACACTGAAACGCCGGCCGTAAAGTTGGGTTGGCTTCCTGTATAAAAAGTGCATTGTGAAACGTGCGTAGCTGGATGATTGTCAAACGATTCACAGTCGAGCGGGCAACCAAAAGGGACTTAAAAATAGTATAAAACAAATAATCTGGCGTCCAGCTCGGCATCTAAGCTCATTATCTACTTTGCGTGGGATCTAGTCATTCCGCCAATGCATATTTCTCTGTGAAATTCTTTGTCACTATATAGGGACACATTGGACTCCTACCAAAAGCAGAATTATGGGGAGCTTTCAATGGGACATTAATAGCCTTCAGCATAGGTTCCTCATCTAACGTCGATTTCTTTGACTAAGCGCAATCGGTTTACATCAGATTGACAGTATAATCGACCATCTAGATAATTTAACGCTGACGAACGCTTTGGTTGAACATGAATTCGGAGCACAGAAGTACATCACACTTGAGCAGACTGTATCATCCTTTCTGAACAAGATGGGATAAAAAGATTGAACTTGGGGTGGAACTAGATGGACCGTGCATCACTTGCTGTTCTACACAGAATATAATGATTTTCTGACCAGAAATTAAAAAAAACACGATTCGCATGAGCTTTCTATGAGAAAATTTACCCTTTGAAAAGCCCGTGGACGTTGGATGATGAATCTGTATAAATGAACTCCAGGTAAGCTGTACAATATCGTGTCTAGCTGTATGTTGATCAGGCACTCTTAGCCCACTCTTGGTGTTCCACCTACCCACAGGGTTGCTGTCGTTTTGAACCTAATAACTGTTCATAAGATGAGCACCGTTGTTCAATCTCGCTGCGCAACGATATCCAGCATTTCCTATTCGAAGTGGGACAATCTCTTCAATGGTATCAGAGTATCCATACTCTCTTCGGTTTATGGACGAGATACGAAATGTGATCATCCTCGTCAATTTTCAACTGACACAGAGAGCTTAGTCCCTACTAAACCACGTCGATTGTAGAGAAATCTGCATTTAGAAAGCAAATCCACGAATCAACAGCATTATCGATGTGGTGGGCTGTAGCCTCCTGTAAAACCCAATTTCAACTTTCACATCATGTCATTTACCGCTCCATCTCACATAATTTGTGGAATTAGCTATCTATCTTTCTTGAATAGAAGAGGTGCTGTATGCTTTGAGTAATTAGCCAGTAATCAGACTCTCATTTAAGAAACGACTCCATGATTTCACTTGTTTACACTAGAAATAGGTCGAAGTAGAGCATCGGCCAACCCCCACTCATAGTGTACCAATATAACGCTGTGAAAATGTAGGTACTGTCCATTCTTTGTAGAATTCTGAATCGTTGATGGGTCTCCCTATTGGAGGGATTGGATATGCCTACACACTAATATGCCTACAAAAGATTATTTCGCGAATTTAGTGCAATTTGGTTTCAAGCGGGACATAAGGTTGACGGAAACTTGGGGACCACGCCTACCTGATTAGCCTCAAGAAGGGCGAAACCGGTTGTCAACTGTCGAAGAATTTTCAGCATCCTTATGAGTGGTGCATTACGCATACACTGGTAGGTTGTTCTTCTGGATGGCACGTATAGGTTTTTGTTGAGAACATTGTACACATTTTGAAGATATTCGGTGTTCATATTTGTAAAATATACTCCGCTAATGCAATAAGAGTTGATAAATCTGGTCCAGAATGTCTCTAATGCGAAAAACAGTAGCTTTTCAGATGACTGAACAGTTTTCCTGCCGGCAGACAGGAGACTAGGAGAAAGCTTGACAGAACACATGCCACGTTGTGACCTTAAAATATCACCACTGTTGTTTCCGAAAGGTCGAAGGTCAAACCGCAACCCTACGTCATCTGCTGCCAAACGCCCACTTCAACTCGGTCATCAAATGCATCCGAACTTTGTTAATCAACTGAGTACCCAGGTTCTGTGCTTGCCGTTGTTTTCGGAGCCATATACTTGTTTTACTCGGATATGATTATGAGATACAAGCCTTGACAAGTTATCTGTCCCGTTGACATTTTTTAACCCACCAAAGTGACAGCCAAATGTGTTGTTCTTTTTCCACCCCTGGGACAAAAATTCACGATTATTCCAGACACCACATTTTAGATGCCAATTTTATTTCTCTCAAATTACCTAAAAACTCCGTTTCTATACTACCTCAAATCCAAAGCTGTGGATCAATAAGGATTCAGCAAACATTTTAGTTCGAATTGATTTCATGATAGCCGAGACTACAGTCAATTCGAATAGAAACGTGTCGCCACTTTACAGCCGAGAGAACTGAGATCTATTTTCAAGAAAGTCGCGCCAACACAAAGCGCCAAAGAAGTTGTCACATCATGTTTTCCAAATTTTGATCGGGGGAAGCTGTCGGCCAGGAAAACCGCCACATGAATAGTGAGGAGTCGGATGTCGTTCAGGGTAAATCCATATTCGAAAGATGGCGTTGTTATGGAAACTCGGAAAGATGTCAGTTCAAAATATTTTATAGTGGCGATACATTTTTAGGTTTCCTTGTTTGATTGGTGGAATTTACTACTGGAAACCGTTTGGTCACTATAAAGCTCTTTTTCAAATGAATAAATGTTAAATCTGATTTGGAATGCCCAGTGGCCGGAAGCCTCTAAAAACAAGGGTTCTTCACTTCCGTGCCCCGAGACTCTTCGTTTAAACTTTTGCAACTTAGGTCACGGCGACAAAAGGTGCAGAGGCCGAACTACGGCCAAGGCAAGAAAACGGCTTATCAGACCAAGATACTAACACTAGCATGAGCTACAAAAGCGTGTACAAGTAATTTGGCCATCGGCTTTCGTATTCAAAAGACAGTAAAGCTAATGAAGCAGACAATGGTAAGGATGAGTTATACACATCATTTGTATTTGCCGAAGCAGGTGCTCCTTGCACATGATGGTAGACGGATGACATTGCTTACGCTTCGATGCAGTACATGGAATGCTGTGGAAGCGTTGTTTTCATGTTGTTCATGGTTGGGGAGACTTTCAGCATCCGTTGCTCAGGGATTATTTCCTTGCTTCGAAAAAAGTCTGCTTTCTTTTCTTGGCTACTTCATAAGACTCCAACACCAATGATGTGTTTCTGCCGCGTATCAAAAGCAGTCAGATTAACGACTGGCAACGATGCCATCACAAAAATGAACTCAGCTGCACCTTCCAAACAGTGAAAGAAGTGTGCCTGGAAATCTTTAACCCGACGTTAATGACCTAAGATATCCCGATTAGTCGCGTAGGCATAATTGTTGTACATGATTCTGTCTCTCTACTTGTATGTTGGCACAGCAAAGGACTTAGATTTCACACAATGTGTTCCGTCGTTTTCCGATACTGGTAAACAGGACAACTGTCCTGGGTAAACTCATTTGCCCGGATCGCTCAGGGTAGGTTTGCACATAGAAACCGATGTAAATAAACCCCTCGTACCTGAAGATTTTACGCGCTGCAGTTGTGTAGTATTTAACAACCCGGCCTCTATTACCAACGTCTCTAACAAGATCCCAGAAGCATATTCTGCTAAGCATATCATAAGTAAATTACTTCGTAAGTTCGAAGGTCACTTCAAATATTTTAGGATGTCATGTGTTTTTCACAGTTAGTTCATTATTTTTTTACTTGTTATTTGATTATCCGGCTTAAGAAATCCACATTAAGAGAGCAAGGCGAATTTTTCAAACGATAAACCACAAGCCCGTAAGCACTGATTCCAACATTATTGGTCTTCAAGCAGGAAATGAACATTCCGCTATGCGTTTTGGAAGGGCGGTAGATTGTTCAAGTACCAAACTCGGAATACTGAGCAGGCTTCACATCCGAGGATTCTAGTTCTAGCCCACGTAAGCACGTTAGTTTTCCCTCTTACATTGGTTGCCGGACTCTGTACAGTGGCTCCTCGATTGTAAATAATTACGAGATAACTGGAATAATCAGATTAGAAGGACGAGTCAAATATTAAGCTAAGCACGAGTTTTAAACGAACAACCTATATGCTCGAATTGTTTGAAGTTTTATTTTCAAGTCAGTAGTCAAACAGAAAATGAAGCCAGTTCGTCATATTGTCAGAAGCATCGTATTTAACCGCATATATTTAGCGATCCCTTCTGATCATGCTGTCTTTGGCAAATTTGTAGGGCCATCCACGATCTAGTCAAATCCACTAGTGCTGACGAATGGAATTTACCAATATTCAGTCAGCAGGTGATGGCATCTATAAAAAATCAGGCAAAAAATTCGAAAGGCTATTACTTTCATCACGTGGCTTCAAAACAACTGGTGCCCGACGTTCCTAAGTTAGTTGCCAAGGTCGGCGAACGGATCGATAGTTGCCTGATCAACCATCCGAGCTAACAATATTCCAACAAGTTGGAAAAGTGTATATCTCACTTTGGTATGTATGGCAATATTGTCTTTTCAAAGCATTCGACGTCTGGGAAGTACGAACTATCAACACCAATCAGCATCAGTTGGGAAAATGTTTTAAGACAATCACACATCAATTTGAGAGGTTCGGGGGCACTGAAAACGGATTGAACTAATTGCCTCGCCTTGGGAAAACGATCATACTAGGGATTTGAGTTGATAGCCCAAAAAACTGGCCCACATGTGAATGGAAACATGTGCTGCAATGTGGGTTCCGTCGCCAATGTGGTGTACCCCGCCATGAACGATTCACCATGGAAACTCAACCTGCAAAACAGGAGCTGAAGTAATCCCCGTGATTGCACTGGAATCAGAAAGTATCATCACTCAGGAAGGAGACATCTTCCCGCGTCTTCATATTCCACGGCTTCTAAATAAGGACCTAATAATGTACACCATGAGCTTGCTGCCTCCTGTGTGGAATCACTTGGCATGTAGTCTTTGCTTATGTATAGTGACACCGATTAATAATACATGTATGGCAAATAGACTGTGTTATTACTGCAACCACTTTTCCTGGTTTATCCAGTATGCAGCGAAGTGAAAGGCATATATGCTGCTCATTTAAGCTGTTGTATTTCACATAAATGGGAAGTTGAAATTTTGTTTACATATCACAATTTGCGTTTGAAGTAGATTAAAGAAAACATTTTTTGCGTGTGGTCGGTTCTAGGTACCAAAATGTGTCCAGCCGCTCCCTAACCACACCTCAACATAGTCTTTTATTTGCAAATTTCAGTGCGAAACAAAATCCAAACAACTTCGGCCGAAGTTTCAGCCGGATTTCTCAATTCAGTTGCCACAGGCACATGCTGAAACAGGAAAGAATAGCTTCTGAAACAGGACTTGCACTGAGTCCGTACAGACCCTGGGTGAGAGATAAACTGGGATATTTCACAGTAAGATATGTGCAGACTTCCAGCCGTAGGATAGCCTACTGTAGGAACAACGCAGTTTGGCACCTGGGACATTGGAAGCATAGTATATTGGCTTTGATGCAATAGGTATGGGGGCACCATTTGTGGTCGGCCGACGGTTAGGGGTAGATTGCTTTGGATTTTGGCAAATACAGCCAACCTATGAAGTTCTGAAACTGTCGGTCTGATAGTGGGGTTTTGTGGAATTTAAAGAATTACTGTTAACTATGTGAAAAACAAATAAAGTCTCTTGTCAGTCTTCAAGATCGAATTCCGGGGCGGCTTCAGTGCGCCTGCACATATAGTGATATGAAGCTAGAGGTCAGAAACGCCAGTTGATGTTTAAGTTACGCCTTGCCTCCACGCACGTGGGTGGAAATATTGAAAATCCATAGTGACTATGCCTTCTAGCTCATACTGTGACTACATAGAAGATAATGGAATTATTCTCGACCCGTTATGTTTGGTAAGGGAGTCGTTTTGTCAAGAATCAGTGAAATCCCTAACACTAGCAGATTTAAAGAAATTCTTCACTTTTGACAGCTTTCTTTTTTGTACGGAAGGATTTTGGTGACCAATTTAGGTCCGACCATAATAACTAATGCAGAGAAGTTGTGGGGATAATGATTCTTGTTACATTGAGTGTACATCAGTAGTGGGCAAAAGTGGTGGCCAAAATCTTCAGGAATCTAAGTCAACTCTATATGGGCGACGTGCCAGCAAAATCAGTTTGTCACCTCAGTTCCTCGTAAATATAATTCCAGGGCAACAACTCCAGAACTGGAAAAAAACAGCTCCAGGCTACGTGCAATATTTTCGTCTTCCGCGATTTATCCAAGCTGATTATCCACTGGAATATACTGAACTTTAGTTCAATATATAGTTTGTAAATGAAATCAAGGCCTCCGGCTCACCGTATTTCACAGCTGTGTTTTTGGCACGCCTGTAGAAATATGCGAATGACAGGCAGTCTAACCGAACTAGCAGGTAACAGTGAATAAACCATTGGACACACACTGAAAGCAGGAGGATAAAAGACTTCCTGAGGTGAGTCTAGTTTTGCGTTGCAGCGAGGGAGTAAGACCGACGAGCGAACATACAGTTGTTTTTTTCAGTACCAATGAACCGGAGAAAATTAGGATGGGATAACAATAGGAGCCAGCACGTACTAGCCGTTTACCATCAAGATACTGGCTTTGTCCGGTGATTAACTTTAGTTTCATTGTTATATTGCATCTTCACCGGCAGTTACGGAAAGCCGTGCATAAATGCCCATTCAGTGTAGTGGGAGATATTCTGGTAGTGTTCCATACACAAAAACTGGTTAGCCAAAGCCATATATTATACCTGGTTTCTACGGACAATAGAATTTGCTGATCGATTGGTCAATGCAAGTTTAATATCAACACCTGAAATGTAGACCACTTTGAAATTTGAGGTATCTTATTGAAATACCGTCCATTTTATCAAATAGACAGATCTAGTCTATCTATTGGACCATCTTTCTCTTTTTATTGTACTACCTTTATGGTAACTTTTTGAATAACAAAGCGCGTTAATCTTTTTTATTTCGGGATGAAATGGAATGCTTGGGTTTTCCACGTACAGAGCGATAAATCGCAATTCTCTCCACCACCAATGAAAAAGACGTACTGTATGCGTATTATAACATGAATTAACTTACCCCGTGCTACACTGAGTGAGCTGAACGAATTGGAAGCTGCGGCTTGGTTTAATAGTTGTCCTGTTGGATTCTCTCCTGTGTAGTGTGCAATCGGGCTTTCACTCTTCGGAATAGTGCTGTTTCGCAGAAGTTGCATTTGAAGCTGCAACAGATATTGATGCCATTGCTGATCAGCGTCCGTGGAAATGCGCCCACTATCGGAGTACTTTAGGTTTTCGAATGGGAGCTCTGCAACTGCTCTAGTTCCTGTGCTGGATGCCATTGCCAGTTGCCTTGCGATCATGTTTAGATCAACATTCTGTGCTTGTGGGCGCTCTGGACTGTTTGACTGAAGAGAATTCGTACTCCCAGCATTCGAGTTTGCGTTTACGCTCATCACAAATATTAATTTTCACCAGCACACTAATGCACCTCACGAACAACTGATTTTCCTAAACTATGCGGTGAACAGCTGAGCGATACGACTCGCTGCTTGGTATAACCTTGAGCCTCGACACCCATTGGCTATCTACGACTTTTAGATAATCCAATCCCGTTGCAGATAATTGACGTGAATGTCCAATGCGTGAACTGATTATCGTTAAGTTTGCTGAAGACATTTATTTTTACGCATGAGCACGAGTCCTTTATACAGCTACGCAGCACGATGCTGTTCTATCAGACTATTAACGGAGAAAGAACAGACGCCCAAATAGTAACGCACCAATGTTCATAGACTTGATCCGAAGCAGTTCCATAAGATGTTTTTTAAAATAACTTTCCCGACTGCAAATGGCCTAATTTGTCACATACACTCACATGCTTGCAACATGGGATTTCGCGTAGTGCGCCTGCTCTTAGACCAACATTTATCGAATTTATGAATGAGATAAGTGACTCAGTGTTTTGTGCAAGCATGCAGAGCAGGGAACGTGAGTTGCTATTTCTTGTTACTTATTGACTTGGCAACAGCTTTGCCTCATGCGTTTTCCGGCGATTTCATTCAGTGTACTTAACAGCATGGCCAGTGCCTCCATTCAACGCGCAAAACCCAGTCGTTGGTTCTGAGAAACTAGAGTCTGATGCTCATAAACTTCCCGCTAAATTTTCTGCAAAGCGGTGTACACTTTAAAAGCAAAATTACTTCTTTTGTCGGTATAATAAATGCGACACATTTCGGTCTCTTAAGGAGGAAGTTTTGCTAGAAAAGAAAGAGCAAACGTCCTATGGAGGGGCCATGCAGAAACATGGATTGGTAAACTCGCAAGTTCCATCACAAAAGGAATTTTAACTGGAGAAATCGAATCGTGGTGAGCACAAGAGGTTTTTTTTATTAACGTTAACTGATGTTCAGGAGACTATACCGTAGTCTGTGGACGGCAAACCCAATCAATTCTATCTTTGCTAAACCTGATTTACCGAAAGCATTTCCATTAGGTTAGGAAAAAAACTGGTCATCGTTTTTCATTGATTCTCAATGTTTTCTGGCATAAATTTTCAGGCAAAAATTTGTCGCATATTTGATCCCACCCATTAAATATGCTTGAACTATTGTGAATCCACATCTCTGTCATGTGAAGGAGATCTGGAATAAAATAACCAATTTGTCCTGGGGAGAACCAAATGGTCACCCATTGGACTCCCGCAATGTGCCGAAGGAACATAAGCGGTAGTTTGACTGTTGGATCAAAGGTATTGATGGACAGGCAACTATGGGTGTTGCCTGCGACAATTCTAGTCATCCCGACCCATTCTCGCTAGAGCAGATTTGTATGGTTATATTTTCAGTGACGGTGACACCTGGTCTACGCTAAAAACATGCCATGAACCTCCTGAATACCTCAAGTTGGACTCGTTAGGGATTATTGGTAGAATGTATGGTATATCTTAGGTTTGATTAAACAAAACAATTCAGTTGGTTTGATTGTTCGATTTAAAACTGAGTCCACACACAGGAATGTTTAGTAGAAATTCAAACATCATGGAGAAAATATTGACGGTGCATGTATTATTTATTGATTTTTGGGCAAATTATTACAGTACGACGTGCAAGAATGAGACAACCTTACCGTGAAGCCTATGAAAGTTGTGCGTATCGGATACGACCAGTTGTGTAATCGCACAGAAGGAATGTTTCCCTCTGGAGAGACAATATCTTCTATCCCTTCGATGTTTACCTGAATTTCGCAAACTTTACATTATATTGCCTGTCAATTCAAACTCCTATACGGAATGCTTTTAAAAACTAGCCGTGAAGATATATTTTGAACCTTCTAAAACAACCGTTAACAACACTAAATGCTCAACTATAGAAGTTAGTTAGTTTCAATAAAGAACTAGAAACCTCTCGACCGTTAGAGAGAATCCAAACTTACTATCAACATCGCTCGCGGCAAGGCATAATTCTCATCGCTGATCAACTTTAGTCATGTTTCCCCAATTCTTTTCGTCTAACCTCAGCGGCCGCACGGCTAGCTTAGTTTGAAAACCGATTGAAGCCCGGGTTTTCCCACACGCAGATTCAAGTACCTGTTTACTTGTTGATTATCGTTCCATAATTAAAAAAACGCATTTGATTGCATTCCACTGAAAACGATGTTTGAGGGTGTAATGTGATCCACCAGAAAGCTGCTTTCCAATCTGCAATTATGTTGATGCAGCCGCAAATTTTTCAATAAGAAAACAATTTCCATAAATGAAACTAATTACAAGGTTGCTGAAAACTGTTCGACGGCCCACGACCGGTTTTGCCCTTATTGTGTCTCATCAGGTGGGCGCAGTCCTCGAGTTTCCGTCAACCTTATGTTCTACTTGAACTCAAATTTGACTGTTTTCGAGAAATACACCCTGATGAGCCCCAAGAATTGTGAACCTGGTCGTGGACTGTCGAGGAGTTTTCAGCAACCTTGTGAGTAGCTTCCTTGATGAAAATATACTGCAATATCTGGAATATCGTGCCAACCGAAACATAAGGCGGCTTGTGTGCAGCACTTTCAGTTGTAGAATATCATAAACGAGAGATTTAGTTGAGTCTCTCGTGAAAACCAAATTGATTTGCAGATGAGCGTATTTCAATGAAACAATTTGTTTTGCTTCCCACGCACTTCAAACCATGGTCAGTTTTAGACGGACACTGTTATTATTACTCAGCGAATAAAAACTACTCCAATAAAACCTCGCTATACATTAGCCGTAAGATTTTGAAAAAATGTATTCTGTACCGGATATAAGCTTTGTATCAACCATCGTCCGGAATGTTCAGCGGCGCAACTGGAGAAAAAAGCTAGAATGGCTAATTGTATCATTTACGGCCAACACGTGCATCAAGGAGATCGTTAGTCACCTAGTCTGTAGTCGTCATTCCAACATTCGGACGACTTTCTAGGCAAGGGAAGGGTTTCATAGAGTTTCGTAGAGTTGGGACTCGAAATTAGAGTTTTCTTCAGACAGGAGTAGAATTTGATTAAACCCGAAAACCCGTTTTTCTGATCGGGTAATAATTATTTGCATGTAACAAAACTGACTAAATTTGGCTTTGATTATTGAGTTTCTAACGTTAAAAGAACTCGCAGCTATGATGATTAATTGGGAGTAGATCAATTTGTCGGCGATTTTCACCGGAGATTGTGGCTCGTGCCTGCTTGAGGTTTCCAAAAACGATGGTGACCAAAGCGGCCGCAGTCGACCGAGAAACACCCACGCGATTACTGTTTGTCGGGATGTAACGGGTAGTAGATTGACTTTCAGGATGAACTAACTCCAAGTTCATTATATAACATTCTCAACTTTAGGCCTCAAAGTACTTCTTATAGGATCGTTTCATCATAGGATCATCTCAAGTAAAACATAAATGACTACTTGGGGCCTGATAAGAAAGCTCGATATGATATGCAGAATCATATTGTTTCAAGTACATGGTCACCAGATCTCACCTAAAGCTAGCCCAGTAAAACCAACAGATAGCGACTGAAACCTTCGGTGGTCAGTAGGGTGGTTAATAGAACCCATTGGCGAATGGAGTGAGGCGGTTTTGTGGCAGTTTTTGATTGCACCGTTAAAGTATAGATAGAAAAATTCTGATGAGCGAAACTCCTAAGTGTTCGTCTAAATTTCCATGTAGAAGCTTAATGACCAGATGAGCTACATACTGCACTCGGACTTCAGTAGACTGACGCAAAATGGCTCTACCGTTTAATCATATGTGTGATATATACATATACATTCAAGGTAGCATATTTTTTGACAGTGCATTTTGAGGAGAACTTTCAATGGCTACTCCGACAGTTCTTTAAGCGGCCTTTCTCTTCGTCGTAAGCACGAGTATTTTTAAACGGTTGTTTTTAATCAGTCTGCTCAACATAAAGCGTCGGGTAATCAGCTGAACGCTTGTAAGATAGATTTCTCAACCTTGTTACCTTGACTGCTTATTATCCACAGACTTGATAGCTGACATTAAAAATGTAGGCAGTCATGTGTGTTAAGAAACAGCTACAGAGCAATCGTTGTTTGTTCACTGACCCGAGACTTCGGTGGAACCAGCTGTTGTTTTCTTCACTGCGGATGCTGTACAGACGATCTTTTAGGATTCACGGACGATTTAAATTTATGTCCACAAGTTACCTTTAGGGTCAAATAAATGGATCGGATCCCAAAAACCATAGCCCCCCTAACGGCATAAACTGTCCCAGTTAAGAGCAATCCGAAGAAAAGCAAGTTCCACTGCCTAGACCGCTTGAAACAGGTAGTAAGATACAGGGATTCTAATGCGACTTGTCTATTTTTAGCTGATTCCTACAGTTCGATATCGAGGACGCCCGAAATTCTGCTACCGGAATAGCCTTCAGGCAAGGTTGCAAAACATCAACCTCTATTTCACAGCACAAAGGATCTGGCACTCAACAGATCGGCCTGACAAACAGTTATCCAAGCAACTTGGAGAAGCTTTGAAATGCAACGCTGAAACAAAAGCCAGTCCTTTGGAAGAAGCTAGAACTCCCAGTGCAGTCTTGACCATGTGAACTTGAGCAAAGTGCGGACGCCTTCACCGAGATTCTCCTTTTGGATCCCCAACTTCCTCACCTGTCCCCCTAATAACCAAGGACCTTCTGAACCCAGGTAACTTTGTTCAAATTGCCGATTCCTTCCTGCTCAACAGTACCATCCTAAAGATAATTACATATTTAACTACACGCTTAATGGTTATTCATTAGATTATCTATTACTACATTGACGGTGTGTTGATGGGCTTATCACTTTAAAAACTCCGCCGTGCTATAATGCGGGGGATGTGGTATTACGTTCACACTCAAAAGGAGCCGGTACCTTGGTAACAAACAGGTAACAAGTGTCGATACCATGCGTTATCCTATCACGTTTAGACCGGTTACTTCTTTGTGACAGACTTCTGTACGTTCACGCGCCGATCTTACTCCC